TTTTTTAAAAAACTAATGCTAAAAACCAAAAGGATCTAATAGATCTAAACAGAACATTCTATCCAATAACCATATGAAATTCTTCAACAAAACGTGGCAAACAAGAAAACAGAGCATTAAAAGGAAAATACACTATTATCAACTGAGATTTATGCATGGAGTGCAGACTGCTCGACTACATAGATCAACAAATGCGGAACATTACACTAAGAGAATGAAGGATAAAAACCTATGGTCATCTGAATATAGACAGGGAAAGAGTTTACCAAAATTCAACACCCTTTAATGATAACAATCTTTGACAAATTTAGATATAACAGATAGCATCATATTTAATGGTGAAATGCTAAGTTTTTCCTCAAAGATAAGGAACAAGAAAAGGATGTCCATTCTTGAAACTAATATTCAACACAGTAGTGAAAGTCCTAGTCAGGCCAAATTGGCAAGAAATGGAAAAAAGACATTCAAGTAAGCAAGAAGTAAAATTATTTCTGTTTGCAGATGACATGATGTTATATATGGAAATCTCTGAAGCTACCACAAAAAATCTCAATTATTCATGGAATCTAAAATTGTTGAATTCATAGAAGCAGAGAATAGACTGGTGGTTTCTGAAGTTTGGGAGGGAGAGGAAAATATGGAGGTGATGGTTAAAGAGTATAACATTTCATTTATGGAAGGAAAGTTCTGGGGTTATCACATTATACAGCAGTAACAAGTATTATATATTTAAAATTTCTTTAGGATAGAGCTTACATTCAATACTTTTATTGTTAAAAAAAATTAAGAAGTAAAACCAGGGCAAGCATTTGGTAGAGAGGTGAAGATGCTGCTTCGGACCTCACATCCATATCAGAGTTGCTTGGGCTCCCACTTACAGTTCTAGCTTCCTGCTCGTGCACACTCTGGGAGCAGCCAAGTAAGGACTCAAAGTGGTTGGGTTCCTGATAACTCATGTTAGAGACTGAGACTGAGTTCTAGATTTCTGGCTTCAGTATGGTCAAGACCCAGCTGTTAAGGGAATTTAGAGAGTGCATCAGTAGAAGGAGGATCTTTCTCTATTTGTCTTTTTATTTCTTTCTCTGCCTGTCAAATAATAATGAAGTTTAAACATTAAAAATATAAAGGGAGTGGGATGGCACTTTGAGATGAAATATGTAGGTTTATGGCTTTCATGGTGATGACTATTTCACAACCATTGTATAACCCAACTTATATGGTTGCATACATTAAGTGCAATTTTTACATGGCAGTCAAAAATCAATAGTGGTTTTTTGGAGAAAAAGTAAATTTTTGATTATTAAATGATTTTTGGATTGTAACACAATTTTGGCAAAATTAAAGTTCAAACACTTGAGGAATAATACTATATCAAACCCCAGTGTTAAAAAATGCCATATACATATACATTCAAAATATTCTTTTCATGTATTATAAGGACGCATATTATTGCCTTTGCATTACAATTACCTAAAGCTTTAAATTGTATGGATGCTTAGACCTCACACCAGAATGATTTAATTAGTCTAAATCAAGGCCTAGGTAGAGAGAGTAGAGATAATATTTTAAGCTCCTCAAGAGATTTTAATGTGCAGACAAGATTGAGAATCACAGTTAAGGATGCATTTCATTATTTTTGCTTACTTTTTTTAATAAAAGCAAAGAGCAGAGAGAGAGAAGAAGAAAAATAGGAAAATGGAAAACAACTATTTATCTCTTTAGACAAACACATTTTCTATAGTGGACTGTGGGTAACATTCCTATGAGAACCAATGAGAACAAAGTCTAAAATTAAGCAAGCAGTATATTCCTAAACACAGGTTTTCTAGGATACTTGAAATATTGAGATTCGTATTTTATTTATAATTTTTGCTTTTATTGAAGTAAGTACTAAGACACTTCTTTTACATAGATTGTGATTTTTTTCAATCACTGCACTAAAGTGCTCTGACCTTTAGGTTTTTTTTTTTTTTTTTGGTTAAATACTGCTTTTGCCTTCTAAACTAGTAATAGTAAAAAGTAACTTAGGGTAACTACCCTCTAAGCTCCTTCTCATCACCCATGTTACCTAGCATTGATATTTCATTAGCATATAATTTAACACTAGAGAGGTTTTTATTAAGATTCATTTTTAGTTTCATTTATGGTCTTTCAAACTTTCTCACTATGCTTTTAAAGTTCTTTCCATATCAACTAAAAATAATCTATTAGTATTCATGATTTTTAGCAGGCTGAGCTATTAAAATTGAAAGGTTACTTTTTCCTAAAATGTATTTAATATGCAATTGATCATATTCAACTACAATGAACCATACCTTTTTATTTGCCAACAATAAAGAATTATAGAAAAAAAGTAATTTATCACTAAATAGGAGATACTAAAATATCACTCAATATGCTGAGTAATGGATTGTGTTGAACAAAATTAATTATAATCATGTAAATTGTCTTAGGATTTGAAGGTGAAGAAGGAAAGAAACATTGCAAAGTTCTTCATGAAACTAGACAAAGCCAGGATAATAATCTCATGTCTCTTCTACTTGAATCTGCCCTTCTAAGAATCCTTCTGCTTCTCTTGTGAGGAAAGGTATTTCTTTGTGCATTAAGAACTTATTTCTTTGTAAAAATCAGAAAAACTTAAGCATTTTTCCTTAAATTGCAAAAACCATTTTTAGATAAAATCATTGATCATACTCAAAACTTTACATCCAAGATGAAATCACTAGGAAAGGGCTTAAGCAGCACATTCTCACACCTACATTCCCTTTTCATATGTGCAGAGTCCCACTTCCCTGGGCTGAAGCACCCTCTCTCAGACCTCTCCAAGCCCCAATCCTGTTTCCTGTAGGCCACAGATACCCAGAGCTATGTGTACCTGAAATCAAATGCAGCCCAAGTGTTAAGTGTATGTAACATATGTAAGGTAGCTTTTCCAAAAGATCAGCCACTTTTCCTGGAAACATGGAAAGTGTGGGAATCAGAAGTTAGAGGACTTATTCTAAGCAGATTGCTTTGAATCTCCAGTACTCACAGGAAGACCAAATGCTGTAACACCACCAAATCCAAAGTCACATTTTTTAATTGCCTCAGTGGAAGGATATTTTAATATGAGAGCAACAATAAAATTAAATAGCAGTCAGGTTTCACTCCAGTACCAGAGAATACCAACTAAGTGATTCAGTATAGAAAGCCACAGAAGACGTTTACCTCATTGGCAGTATGTATCACACAGAACTATTTTGGAAATCAAAAGCACTTGGCACACTGTGAAACTGTACAAATGTATTTATAATTATTTTGACATTTTCTGGGTAGTTTTATAAAGAAAATATGTGTAGGTGTACTTCACATTTAGAAGCATGACAAACCATAGCAAGCTTTTTCCAAGTTATAATTCACATGATGGAGAAGCATTTTTAATCTCCTAAACCCAGCTCTAACTAAAGTCTACTTAAATTTATCTAGCTAAATTTCCTTTTCATAAATGCACTAACTGCCAAGTTTCCAACCCACTCTTACTGGTCAATTTTTAATGAATGTAAGTTAGTAGTATGCATATAAATATTCAGCTTAACATTTTAAATCATGGTGAAAAATAAATCCAGAGGAGAACACGTCTACATGTTAGAAAGGAGCTATAGGCCGGCACCGAGGCTTAATAGGCTAATCCTCCGCCTTGCGGCGCCGGCACACCGGGTTCTAGTCCCAGTCGGGGCGCTGGATTCTGTCCCGGTTGCCCCTCTTCCAGGCCAGCTCTCTGCTGTAGCCAGGGAGTGCAGTGGAGGATGGCCCAAGTGCTTGGGCCCTGCACTTCATGGGAGACCAGGAGAAGCACCTGGCTCCTGCCTTCGGATTAGCGCGGTGCGCCGGACGCAGTGCGCCAGCCACAGCGGCCATTGGGGGGTGAACCAACGGAAAAGGAAGACCTTTCTCACTGTCCACTCTGCCTGTCAAAAAAAAAAAAAAAAAAAAAAGAAAAAAGAAAAGAAAAAAGAAAAAGAAAAAAGAAAAGAAAGGAGGTATAAGGTATAGCCTGAGAGGGGAATTCATTGTGCAACTGGAAGATGGTGAAGGGACTGTTAGGCTCTGAATCTTTGCGTCCCTCCTAAATTCCTATGTTCAAATCCTAATCCTCAAGTGATCTCAGGGGCCTCTGGGAGAGGAGTCGTTCACTGGGGCAACACCCTCTTAAATGGAATTAGTATGCTTCTAAAATAGGCCCAAGGAAGCTCATTCACCCTTCCACCCTCCTAGCACACAGCAAGAAAGTGCTGTCAATGAACCAACAGATGATTCCTTGCCAGACACTGAATCTGCCAATGCCTTGATCCTGGATTTCCCAGCCTCCAGAACTGAGGAAATAAATGTGTGTTGTTTATAAGGCACCCCACCTATGGCAGTTTGTGAAAGCAGCCTGAACAGACTAACATGGGTTTCATCTTTAAACTGTTGTGCCCAGATTGTTAGATCCCCGCAGAGACCCTCAGAGAGTCGATCACACTGAACTGCAAAAAGCAAGGTTCATTCGGGAGTACAAGCCGCAACAGGGACCCCATCCAACCAACCAGCACAGCGGAGGAAGGAGTGAGGCTCCAGTCTTTGTTTGGGAGAGTTTTTAAAGGAAAAAAGGGCTACATCAGCAGGAAAAAAGAGTTACATACAGCACGGAAGCTTTGGGTACAGGGAGTTACTTTGTTTAGCAATCTCTACTGTGCTGTCCTTGGTCTACTGAGCTGGCTGTCCCTGGTAAGCTTTGATATCTCCGGAATGCCTGCTTTTAGAAGGACTCGGGTCTGCTATATGAAACGGAGGCTGCTTTTTTTTATTGTTTTAAAATGGAATCACTTTGGCTCTTCAAAACCATGTTACACAACAATTCACATTCCAATTCATTGTGTCTGCACATAACATATAAAAGAACATTTTATAAAGGTACAGCAAAGAAAAAGTGGCTAGATTATAAATGTGTTTCCAAATGGAAATGTTTTATAGAAACTTACCAGTTGTGCAGTTTTTAAATTCAATATCATCAATTGCTGCTCCTCCTCCAAGATCCCTTGTTCTGATCCCTTGGAATATAACTTCAAAATTCCTTAACTTTCCTAGCATGATGACAGCCTGTTGCCAATGATTAGCATGGTTCTCACTTTCTTCCCATACTTTCTGGAGTCCTTGTTCTGTCTGAAAGTAAGGAAGCTTGCATTAGGGAAATAATTAAACATGAAATAATAAGTAAAAGAGTTACTTAGCACAGAAGCATTTTTCCAGTGACAACTGAAAAAGGAACCTAGATAATATCCATGATTGAACTTATCTCACCAAAAACAGAGGCATGTTAACTTAATATTTTCCCCAAAGCAATACTAGCAGCAACAGTAATAAACTTGTTTTGATATGTCCAGAGAGAGTATTATTGTGAGTTCTACTCAGTTAAATTCACCTATCCCTGATATATACAAAATTCTTGTGGTGGAATGAGAAGGCCATGCCAAGATGGCCACTGGCAAGCCAGTGTCAGTTACTCAGGAATGGCTTCAGAAACCACCTGGGAAACCACCTGGCAATGGAGCCTGCCTGGCAACAGGCTGTGATTGGTTAGGGCATAAACTGCCCCTTGACCGGATTGGCTGCCTCTGCTATATAAGCTTCTGTACCAACTGAAATAAATGAGTCTGCAGGCTGCTCGCCTCTGACCCGCTTTCATCCGACTCCCAGGGTCTGGATGGTGACTCTGCACCTCTTACTTCCATCGGACTCCTCCTCTCAGAATGAATCCACAGCAACACACCTGTCCTTGCATATACACAAAATTCTTGATGTTTGATGGAATCTGAACAGTTTACCAGAGGCCCTGGACTACCATTTCTAGATTGTCCCAGCCTAACTTCTATTTCTTTATTTTCCTTAACTATTGAGGTTGCAAAGAATGTAAACAACTGGCACAGAGAAAGAGAAAATGAAAATAAGTATGAGGAAGAAATCATTGACCCTTGTGGGATAGGATAAAGGCATTATAAACTGAATTGAGCACAGAGGGAAAGTGATCACATCTATGATCAGATTTCAAAGACTCTATTATTGCATAATTATATTCTTTGGTTTTCAAAAATTCTATTATGTGAACAAGGACTATAACTGTTTCTTTATAAAATTCTTCAAACAAAAAGGAAAAATTTTCTTAAAAACTTATATAAATATTTCCTCTGAATATCTGAAGTTGGCCAGTCAGTAATACAGTATTCTAATACACGAACAGTCCAGTGTAACATAATATGCCATATTATGTTTATAACTCTAATTAAAATACCCTACATTAAACAAGTATACAAGCCTGTGGAGACAGAGCAGGGCATAGATTATATGTATATATTTTTTTTTGGTGGTCTAGGTTTAGCCCTGAGAACTAGATGATTTATAAATAATGGTGATGGGTACTTAGCTAAGAAAAAGCATAAAATATATGTTTATAGTTATAGTGACTTGGTCTCAAGTCACTGTGTTTTCATGATGAATTCATAGTAAGAACTTCTCTCTGATCTTATAATTGAAACAGCAGAATGTGTGGGAGAGTATTTAGTGGAACAACATCCAGAAAACCCAGCAAATATCCCAACCGACTTAGAGCACACAGTTATGAAGTATACAGTTTACAGATATGTTAAAGAATACAGCTTAAGGAGAACAAAGGAATTGTTTGAATTAGGACCCAAGGGAGTTACACACTGATATTCTCATGCTTTTAGGGGACTAATATTAATATAGATGATTAATAAATATGGAACCAAGTGGTTCTTCGTCTTTATGGTTTTAAAGAGAAAGCAAAACTATATGTTAGTTAACCTAAAACTAACTATGTAAAACAACAGTTTACGGGTAACATCTTTTGACATCCTTTTCAAAACTACAACAAATCTTTATGGACAGACATTCATGTCACTTCTTCATTGAAAAGGATGGAAAATTCACACTTAAGTAATGGAGTTTTATACCATTCTGAGGACTAAAGAGAACATGCCCTTTTCAAGATTAGTCTTTGATTCTCAGTGATGTCTCCATAACTTGGAATCAAAGATTACGGTAGAGGGGGTGTGTCTGACGCTTAGCAATGTAAGAGAAATGAGGATTGATACAAGTCTACCTTAACTTACAAATTCAACTCATCTTACTAATTTTCCTCTGCAGTTTATAGAACCACTCATTAGTTATGCCATGTCCTCAAAGGATTTTCAGTCAAAAACATCCAAGAAGATCCTATGATTATGTGAATAATAAAATGTGAACAATTTCTTAAATCTTACAGTGGGGATTCTAGCAAGAAATATACTTGAATTATGTGTTCACTATGACTTCAGGGGAAAAATGAGACATTAATCAAACTGGTAATAGGGTAAAGTATCATTTTAATATATCTGCTATTGTTGCACTCTGGATGTAACATTGAATCTTATCCCTAGAATTATAAAAAGTATTCACTCAAATGTGCATTGGAGATTTCTTTCTTTCCTCATCCATCCACTCATTCATTTAGTCAGAAAACATTCAATAGTGCCAAATATGATGTCAGATGCCAGGGATAAAGAGGTGAAAAGACTTGGAGGTACACTGTGGAGGTAATAAGCTGATACAGAAGTCATAAAAATAAGTTAAGAACTAGTGCTCTCTCTTTCAATGCATACACACACACACACACACACAAAGTTACACAAATAAGACATATACATGTTCTCAACAGAAATTTCAAAATAAGTGGTATGCAAGCATTCCCCATTTTTTTCTACATATTTTTGTGGCTTACTTATTTACTTAATACGCTGGTTTCAATACTTTTTAAATAGATAAAGAGAAAAACCTATCACTTTTAATTCATGACTTTGCCATTGTCTAAAGATTTAACTCGGGCCGGCGCCGCGGCTCACTAGGCGCCGGCACACCGGGTTCTAGTCCTGGTCGGGGTGCCGGATTCTATCCCAGTTGCTCTTCTTCCAGGCCAGCTCTCTGCTGTGGCCCGGGAGTGCAGTGGAAGATGGCCCAAGTACTTGGGCCCTGCACCCGTATGGGAGACCAGGAAAAGCACTTGGCTCCCGGCTTCGGATCTGCACAGTGCGCCGGCTGCAGTGGCCATTGGAGGGTGAACCAACAGTAAAGGAAGACCTTTTTCTCTGTCTCTCTCTCTCACTGTCCACTCTGCCTGTCAAAAAAAAAATTTTTTTAATTAAAAAAAATTAAAAATTAAAGATTTAACTCTTGCATCCCAGTGATTTTAAACTCAAGATGTCAAGGAAATACACATCTGAAAGTGATTAACCACACTCATATTAAAAAAACATTAATACAAAATATTAAATTGCAGAAACTGAAGAAATATTTTTCTTGCAATTTAACATTTTACTCTACTATCATTGATTTCCCATAAACATGCATATTGACCCTTGTCCTGCATACTTGTTTTTGCACAGCATTGAACCTGGGCATTTTTTAAGGTCAGAAAGCAAGAAAGTGCTTAGTTAAACACACATGACTGAGAGTATGTCAAATAAATACAGGAGCCAACAGAGTTTCCAGTACCCAAAGATAGAACAGCTTGAGCAATAAAATAAAGCATTATTGGATTATACCCCACAGTACATAATAAATGTCAATGACTACATACTGATCTAAATAAAAACTTGAATGAATAGATAAGAAGAATACACAAAGCTCCCATGACAAAGAATTCCAAATAATTTACATAGCTATTCAAGCCTTAATAAGGAGGAACCTGAGGCCTGCACTGTAGTGTAGCTGGTGAAGCCACCACCTGCAGTGCCGACATCCCATATGGGCACCGGTTCAAGTCCCAGCTGCCCCACTTCCGATCCAGCTCTCTGCTATGGCTTGGAAAAGCAGTGGAAGATGGCCCAAGTCTTTGGGCCCCTGCACTTGCATGGGAGACCTGGAAGAAACTCCTGGTCTTTGGATCAGCACAGCTCAGGCCATTGCAGCCAACTGGGGAGTGAATCAGCACATAGAAGACCTTTGTCTCTCTCTCTCTCTCTCTCTCTCTCTCTCTCTCTGCATTACTCTGACTTTCAAATAAATAAATAAATCTTTTTTAAAAAAAAAAAAAAAAGGTGAAACCTAACTTTTCATTGCTTCAGTGTCAGCTGCATAGGTGATTTTCTTTCGAAGAGTCTAATAAGAAATGGCAGGGGACTTAACAAACACTGTCTCAAGCCAAATGATGAAGGCTAATATCAACAACAATAATCTCACTTTGAAAATAACTATTCTTGGGAGCAGGCTTTTAATGTAGCAGTTAAGAAGCCAATGTCCCAGGGCCAGCGCTGTGGCATAGTCGGCTAAGCCTCTGCCTATGGCACCAGCATCCCATATGAGTGCCTGTCTATGTCCTGAGTGCTGCTCTTCCGATCCAGCTCTCTGCTTATGGCCTGGGAAAGCAGTGGAAGGTGGTTCAAGTGCTTGGGCCTCTGCTTCTGATCTGTCCATGTGGGTAGTAAACCAGCAGATGGATGGCCTTTCTGTCTCTCCCTCTTTCTGTCTGTAACTCTGCCTCTCAAATAAATAAATAAAACTTTTTTTCTGGAATAAAAAGAATCCAATTTCTCACATCAGAGTACCTGTGTTTAATTCCTAGCTCTGGCTCCTTACTCCAACTTTCTACCAATGCAGATCTCTAGGAGGCAGAGATAATAACTCAAATAACTGGATTCCTGCCACCTTTATGGGAGATGTGGACCTCATTCCTCAAAACAATAATGGCTCTGGCCTAGTCTGGCCAGGCCGAGCACCTGCCACTGTGGACTGAAAGTTGGTTCAGAACTTTTCTGTATTTATTGGATTTAATTTAATTTTCCCTAATGTAGGTAAAAACTAATTTAACAGATTTAAATTGTATGGATGTTAAGTATACATTTAAAAACTCACTAAAGGGAACAGGTAGTTAGCCAAGTGGTTTTAGTATCCTATGTGAGAATGCCTGGATTTGAATCCCAGCTCCACTTCCTAATTCAGCTTCATGCAAATACAGACCCCGGGAAGCAGTGATGATGGTCCTACATGGACCACACGGGAGACCTGGATTGTGTCCCAGCTACTGGCTCTGGTCCCAGACCAGCCTTGGACGCTGCAGGCATTTGGGAAGTGAAACAGTAGATTTTGGGAACTCTCTTTCTCTGTTTCTT